TCCCGGGCTGAGCCGGGCCAAATTCTTTGTTTTTCTTAAGGGCCGTACCAGCCCGTGAACCGGCGGTTCGGGCCGGTTCTATGAAACGGCCCTTGGTTCTAGCAGGCCGGTCACGGTCCGTGTGTTGGAGGGCCCGTGGCCCGACGGGCCGGACCTTGGCCCGGCACCTGGTCACGTCTACTCCTCACTAGTAGACACAAACTGGCTAAATTATTAGTAGTCACAAGACTCGTATAACAAATTGTGATCGAGTATAAGCCTTTATTTAACGGTGACCCTTATGTTGGGTCACCAACAAAAAAACAAAAGAAATTTAAAAAAAAAAGGAAAAATTAAGGAAAAGGCGTGGCCGAGGTCACAATGTGACCTTGGGTCACAACCGGTTCGGGGGACAATTTTGGGGTACTTGTCCCATTTTTATTTGATAACTAGTACAATACCCGTGTATTACACGGGTGCTTGTTAAAAAATCATTCTTAAATTTTAAAATTAATGAGAAAATTATATTAAATTTAGTTTACTTTTTTACAAAAAAAATATATTACTATATATTTTAGAATGATATGTGTTACTTATGACTTACATGTGTTATATTATATTAGTATTTATAACTTATATCATATAACTACTTGAAATATAAATATATTAGTTGATAAATAATTTTATTTTTCTAATTAATATTAAAAATAATTTTATTATTGTTATAAAGATAAATATAAATTATTTTTTTTATACATACAATATGGATGTTAAATCGAAGCTTATCAAAAAAAGATTAATTTGATATATTACATATGTAAAACTGATAAAAAATACAAAAGTTATTAACTTTTAAAATATATATACAATTCAATAGTTATAATAAGGAATGATATTAAAATACAACTAATACATGTAACATGACCATAAATAATCAACATATTTATGGTAATCCGAACCTAATTATTTTTGGTTTGGAATTAAATTAAAATTTACTCAAGCCTAATAACGAAACATGTAATTTTGCCACATAGGATTCTGAAGCACAGAAGCAGCCACGTAGGCTCAACACATTCTGTATTAATATATAGGGGGGATTGTATTTTTTTGGTTTCTAAAAAAAATAAAAAATACTATAATTCATATTTTTTTCATTCTCTACAAATAGAGACCACACTTGATATATTTTAGAAAATAATTACAACTTTTACATAAATTAAAATAAAATAAATATTTAGGTTGGATTGGGTTGGAGATAAAGAGAAATTAGGTTGGAAGATTGAGTTGTTTATATGGAGGAGAGATAAATAATTGTTAATTATTAAGTTAGGTTGGGTTGGGCTGAGAATAAAGATAATCTAAAAAAACATGAAATTTTTCGACTGAGGTTAATTTCGTCCATTCAAAAAATTCGGTCTCCCACGGGCTTTATCACCGGCAAGGTCAACAGTCAGAACGAATGAACGAACGAACGAAATAACGCTAATTACTGGAAATTCACGGCAAGGAAAAATCCTGTCACTCGGAAAAATGCATTCCGCTGCCGCCTCCTCCCGACCGACGCCGCAGCCGCCACTTTCTCCGCCTCTATCCTCCGATTCCGACTCCGACGCCTCTTCCCCCTCCGATTCCTCCGTCACCCACCGCCACCCCGACCTATCTTCCACTATCTTCCAATCCTACCTAACCAGCCACAATTCTGCCCATCACGATCAGAATCACGATCTCGCAAAGATCCAATCTTTCCTAGCGTCCTCACGCTCCGGCGCCATTTCCTGCCTCATCTGCCTCGAGCGCATCAAGCCGACTGATCCGACATGGTCCTGCTCCTCCCGCTGCTTCGCGATCTTCCACCTCCTCTGCATCCAGTCGTGGGCCCAGCAGTCCACCACCCTCGCCCGGGAGCGTGCCTCCTCACGCGCAGCCGTCGTCCCCGACGACAGCTCCCTGGTCTGGCCCTGCCCCAAGTGCCGTGTCGAGTACCCAAAGCCCCAAATCCCCAGGAACTACTATTGTTTCTGCGGTAAGGTCCAGGATCCGCCCCGCGACCCATGGATCCTGCCCCACTCGTGCGGGGAGATTTGCGGACGCCCGTTGAGTCACGGCTGCGGGCATCACTGCCTGCTTCTGTGCCACCCGGGTCCCTGCCCGGCCTGCCCGAAGCTCGTCAGGACTGGGTGCTTCTGTGGGAAGTCAGAGGATGTGAGGCGGTGTGGGTTCAAGAATTTCTCCTGCAGCAGCGCTTGCGGGAAGCCATTGGAGTGTGGGGTCCACAAGTGCATTGAGATCTGCCACGACGAGCGGTGCCCGCCCTGCCGGAGGAAGGGGACTTACAAATGTCGATGTGGGAAGCTGGAAATGTCGAGAGAATGCTGTGAAAGGGACTTTAGATGCGAAAATGGCTGCAATAAGATGTTGGACTGTGGCAAGCATGTATGTGAAAGGGGCTGTCATCAAGGAGAGTGTGGGGATTGTCCTCTTCAGGGGAAGAGGACTTGTCCCTGTGGGAAGAGAGTTTATGAGGGGATGGCGTGTGATTTGACCGTGCCTCTGTGTGGGGCCACTTGCGAGAAGGTTTTGAGCTGTGGGTTCCATCGGTGTCACGACAGGTGCCATCGTGGGCCGTGCCTCGAGACGTGTAGGATCGTGGTTACCAAGGCTTGTAGGTGTGGGAGCCTGAAGAAACAGGTAGAAACAAGTTGGTTATCTTTTGAAAGGTTTTGTTTGAGAATTATGTTTACTTGTTGTGATTTTGTAACACGGGGAATGCCGGATTTGAATGTAGAATAGGTTCCTTGCTATCAAGAGCTGACGTGTGAAAGGAAGTGTCAGAAAGTTAGGGATTGTGGTCGGCATGCTTGTAAGCGCCGATGCTGCAATGGGGATTGTCCACCTTGCTCTGAGGTATTTTATACATAAATATGCGTTTGTGATTTTGTGTATGTTACATTTAATACTCGTATTTTTTTTTTTTTTGAACATGAGATTACTAACTGTAGTACAAATTGTGGAGTGTAGATTTGTGACCGGAGGCTTAGGTGTAGGAATCACAAGTGTCCAGCACCTTGTCACAGGTACTCTTAAAGTCAAGCACCTTTGCAGTTGGGCTGAAGTATTATACTCAACTCTAAATTAAGTGTATAAAATTTTGGATAGAAAACTGTGAAGATGTACCCATGAGAATATCTTCCAATAGTTTCTGCAGATATTATTTTCAAATCTCAAATCTGATGGTGAAGTCAGATGTTATTTTTTTTATGCGTAGTGGAGGTATCGATAGTGATTACTGCCATTATTTTTCTTGTAGAGGTGCTTGTGCTCCTTGCCCGTTGATGGTGAGAATCTCATGTTCATGCGGGGAGACACAGTTTGAGGTTAGCATTAATTCATATTTGTTTGAAATTAACACAATTTCGTACAGTTTTTTTAATTTGCTTCATGTATAACAACAATTAAGATTAGTTTAGAAACCAATTTGCTTCATGTGTAACAACAATTAAGATTAGTTTAGAAACCATCGGTCCTCCTTGCTAACTTTATCATCTAGTTAGTTGTATGTTTCAATTTTTGAGTTTTTTAAGTTAGTTAAGTTTGCCAATTGGAGAAATGACAATGCACATTTCCAAGGCTGCATTTCCTCTCCATATACTATATATATGATAAGCCTTAATTTGAACTGTATATATTTTGCATTTATGCCCTGGTGTAGGTGTATTTATGGAGTTTTCTACTTGCTAGTGTGTTTCACTTATTGTGATTACTTGTTCTCTGAAATCTCATTGCAGTCGACTGAGTAATGCAACAAGCCTATGATGAATTTATTTTTCCTGACAAATTAAAGTTAATCACTTCAATTTGAAAGGAATATCTGAGTTAGACTTTGGGGTTTTCCAGTTTTATTTTCTTTTCAAGGCACGTGTGCCTATTCAGAAGCATTTATAAAACGAATGTGTACTTGGTAGCTATAAACATTTTTATGATCATGATTCTCCGTATTTTATTTAATAAACCTTTAGTTGCATTCTGATTCATAAGAATGAATGTTGAAGGGGTGACTATTACAGGTAGTATATAACTTATGAGTACGTTTTATATGATTTGACTTGCAGTAATTGAATGTGATAAGTTTCTGCTGAAAATACCAATTGTTCTGCAGTGATTTTAACATAAATTTTAGCACTCATTAAGAATTCTTACGTCTCATTCGAACATATGGTCAGGTCCCTTGTGGCACAGAGAATGAACATAAACCTCCCAAGTGCCGTAAATTATGTCATGTTGCTACTCTGTGCAGGCATGGGCCATCCCGCAAGGTTGTAAAATATTATTTGTCTTATTTTACTTCACTAATCGTGTCATGTTCTATTTGGGACTACTAAGCAAGAGCTTCTGAAATACGATTTGATTTATCATTATAATTAAGTTCATCTAGATTTTTGGAAATAATTTTTTGAATTTGTATATAGCCACACAGGTGCCATTATGGTGTTTGTCCCCCATGTCGGCTGACGTGTGATGAAGAATACGCATGCGGCCACAAATGCAAACTAAGGTTTTGTTTTAGTACTCGTTTTTCATTCATTAGTTCTCTGGTAAATCTTTTCATTGCCTCAGCTCAGCATTCATATGTTCTGTTATGTGAATGTGAAAAAAATAGGTGTCATGGGCCTAAACCAGCTCCTCTTCCTGAATTCACTTTGAAACCCAAAAAGAAGAAGTTTAATCATTCGAGTGAAGAAACTCCTGGTTCCCCATGTCCTCCTTGCCCGGATCTTGTGTTAAGGTCGTGCGTTGGTCATCATATTGGAGAAGAAAGAATGGTCAGTTTCTTAACTCATTTTTAATTAATTATCTATATCCTTTTGTCCTGGTTCAATGGTTGAGATTTAGGATGTGATTGGATATGGATTTGACTGGTTCTTGATTGTTTTTTTTTTTAACCATAGTTAATTTTGAAGTAGGCGGTATGGGTGGTTGTTAGTGGAAATTTAAATTAAATTAAAATAATATTTAAAATAAAATAATTAAAGTCGATTTGATGTATAAGTACGAGAAAAATGATTGCAAGTGATGGTTAGTTAAAATTATGTGAGTGGATGAATAGTAAATTAAAATTGATGTGATATGTAAAAATGATTGGTTGATATTATTTAATTATATTAATAATATTGAGGATAGTGGAGTTGAGTTAAAGTTGAATTTCGAATTTTGATAGGATTTTTTGGTTGAGTTTATAACCAGTCACACCCTTAGTATTACAAATTCACTCTGCCCTTGATATGAGGTTTTTCCATATTGATTGAATGTGCTCTGGAAGTTATTCTTGATCCTTTTGTCCTGTTTCAGATGGTTTGCTCAAATACGGCAGAATTTTCTTGTGACAATTTGTGCGGAAATCCTCTCCCTTGTGGCAATCATTATTGTACTTATGTATGTCATGCCGTGAAAAATCATCCTTCAAAATCAGGCGATTCATGCGAAAAGTGCAATCTCCCTTGTGAAAAGGTAAATCCTGTACTCTCTCCCTTGTACCGATTAAATTTTAGAATATACGAAGGAAAATTTTGATAAATTTCTTAATTTTTCTTTCAGGAGAGAGATCCAGGATGCCTACACCCTTGCCCCTTGCCATGTCATCCCGGGCAGTGTCCTCCTTGCAAGGCACTCGTTAAACGCTCGTGTCATTGTGGGTCCATGGTACATGTTTTTGAGTGTAAATATTTCAATAGCATTTCGGAAGACGAGCGTACGGCTGCTCGTTCTTGCAAAGGGCCATGTCACAGGTAACCTTTTTAAAATTTCATGTATCTTTTGAACTTACGTGTGTATGTGACTTAGAAAAAAGAACAGAAAATAGTTATGGTGTTCCATCTCTATGGAGCAAATGATGATAGCCATAGGAACACTCTAGTGGAAAATGAGGAGAAAATGATTTTGACCGGCTATTGCTGAACTTCATTCATCCAAGTCTCGCAATTTTCGACATTGATTATTGGTTTTCTCCATCATTATTATAATATGGTTAAATCCTACATCAGGAGTTGTATTTATTTGTTGTTTAGATTCTGTAGCAATAAATTGATGCCTTGAAATCTTTGAAAATCAATATTTTAATATTGATTTTGGATTTGCAGAAAGTTGCCAAACTGCACACATTTATGCCCCGAGACGTGCCATCCCGGTTCCTGTCCATTACCTGATAAGTGCTCTAAGAAGGTAACACAATGATTCTTACGGTTTTATTTTCAATACGCCTTTTTTTATATACATGGTAAAAATTTAATTTTTACTGAGCTTCCAACATCATATCTTCTACCAAGATCAATATATTTCTATAGAAGAAGAGATGATACAACGTGAACTAAAATGCGAATCTGTCAAATTATAAGCATGTGAATGAAGAAAATCTTACCAGTATATTTCTGCCGAAGAAGAGATGATACAACTTGAACTAAAATATGAATATGTTAACTTATAAGCATGTGAATGAAGAAAATCTTGCCTGAATCATGAATTGGTCTTTTACTAGAGGTTAGATGCTAAGGACTTGTAAACAATTGCTCCTTATGATATTTAATTGTAAGAAAATGTCTGACGAGCCTCAATTTTATGTTGCACATCATGAAGATATGAAGTTAAAACCGAGTAACTGAGCTAGCTTATACTTTTGGTTTTTGAAGTATTTATCGGTGACTTGACTTTTGATCTGTAGTATGTATAAATCTTACTTCATTCCAATGTTTGAGATTAGTTCCACTGTTAGATTTGTTCTATAAAACCATCTCGATTTTTTTTTTTTTTTTTTTTTTGCGCAATAGGTTACGGTTCGTTGTGGATGCCAAACCTTAAAAAAGGAGTGGATGTGTCGGGACGTGCAAGCTGCATATCGTGATTCTGGATGTGATTCCAAAGATATCCCTAAGAATCAATATGGGCTCGGGCTTCTTCCCTGTGATAATGAGTGCAAGAGCAAAAAGAAGGCTCTTGAAGCACAGCTACATTTTCGCCAGCCCAAGCCTCAGGAGGTACAAATAAATATATTTTGTTTTTTAACCGCAAATTCTTTATGTCAATTTCAACAATTCCGAATATAGAAGGAATATCATTATATCTCATGTAGAAAAATCAAAATAAATAAATAAATAAATGCATTTTTTATTATTTCAATTTTCAACAAAACCCACCATATCAATAGAAATTAAAATGAAAAGTAAAAAATTGTGGGGTTAATCGAAATATTTGGAGATAGTTGAACTTTCATTGTACTATCCTTCACTATGTTAACCCAATTGTCTATTTTTTCAAAGGATAAGGAGTCTGATGATGCTAACACTGTAAAGAAACGTAGAAGACGAAAGCAAAGAATACACGAAGAGCAGAATGTTTCAAGAGTGCAGGTTTGGCTATATTCTTAAGTAAATATGCTTGTAGCTTTTCTGTTTTTTTAAAATAATATCCCTCTTGATAGATTGAAGTTTTTTTTTTATCCTGGTGCAGAAAATAATTGCTGTGGCTAAACGGGTTTTGCTGATTCTCATCATTGTTGTTATTGTAATTGCTTCTGCATATTTTGGGTATGGTGGTCTCATGTGGCTATCCGATTGGATGAATGAATATGAAACTCAGCAAAGGAAAAGATTATCGCGAATCTAGTTAAAAAAAAAAAAATTAGGTCGCAATTTTCTGAAGATGAACAGAGCTTAAACCTGAATGATGTTTCCTCTATCGGCAGTTTCTATTTTATTTTTGGTTATTTTTATTCACATTTTTATACGGTAATGTGAAGTTACGATAATGGTTACGATGACTGATCTTAAGGTTGAAGTTTAGGTTATTATATTTTCCTAGTATTTTCTCCAGGAGTTTTTCTCTAGCAAGGAGAGTATATGCTTAAAAGTTTGGACCATAGATTGTAATGTATAATTTTAACCTTTTGAGCACAAGAATGTGTTTGTTTTATAACAAGTTTTAGACTTTGTGTTTTGATCATTTTATTTGTAATGTACTTTTTTTGCATTCACGAGTTCAGCTCGTTCCTTTACTTAAACGTGTTAAACTCGAATAACTAATTGAGTTTGTTTATCGAATGAGCGGAGCCTAGATTATCTGCTGACGAGTCGTTCTTGTATATATATTTGTTATTTTTGTATGGATTTGAAGTGAAATAGTCGAGTTGAAACTTGTTCGTAAACGGACATATCATATTTGTGAATAGCCCGTTTTCAGTTTTAATTTGTATTAAACGAGCCAATATGAGTTTTTGCAATTTTAAGCGTTCACAAGCTCAAATTGAATATACATTATTCAAAGTAAATCTATACTTATATTATAAGCAAACCTATTTACTAAATTCAGTATGTTGAATAGTCAACATTAATTAATGACTTTCTAATCTTATCAAGTGCATTAATTACGTGTAGTTTGGTAAAAAAAAAAAAATCTGATAAAATCAAGAAATAAAACGTGTATAGTAAGATTTGATCACAAATCTTTTCTTATCTTTTTTCCAATTTGGACGTGTATTTTTTTTTTTTATTTCAGATTTTTTTGTTTCTAAAATTCCATATTATTAAGGAAATAAATCACGCATTTGATCACAAATCTTTTCTTATCTTTTTTCTAATTTGGACGTGTATTTTTTTTATCTCAGATTTTTTTGTTTCCAAAATTCCATATTATTAAGGAAATAAATCACGCTCTCTCTTTCACAAATAAAAACAAATTTACAACTAATATAACTAACACATCTCATAGTATTATGCAAGGAATAATTTATAATTATATTTATTTATAAAAGATGATAAGAATAGTCCAACATACTTATCTCACTGGCAAATGAAAAGATATTCCACGTTTTAAAATGTTATACTCCTCAAATAAATAGTTTCCGTGCCTCGCACAGGTCACGTACTATATATTCCGTACAATTTTTTATTCATTTATATAATTACAAAGCTAGATATATGATCTTAAAGTTGTACACCCCGTGCATCGCACGGGATCTGTACTAGTTACATTTAAAGTTTAATTGATTAAGTTGTTAATTGCCGGTTATACATACGTAAATCCCGAATGATACGATTCCATTAACTGTAAGCCGGGTCAAATTGAGGGCCCGGGGACAAAAGCAGTCTATCCTGGGCCTACACGTGTCAATATCATAAGGGCTTAGCTGCTACAATTGACTGTTTTTAATGGGGCCCTAAAAGTCAACTCTCATCCAACGTTTATAATGACAACTCAAATCGGGACCACCATTGTTACTCTTTAGATTACGTTGATCCTAAAACCTTGATGATATTAACGTCCCATTTTATATACTCCTCTTTTTTATCAATAAAATAAAATGAAAAAACTCTTTATATTGTGTTTCATCATTTCATGGCACACAATATTTTACAAGATTTATGTTTCGTAGACAAATAAATCAACTTATAGCTTATTTAGTTAGTTTATAAGTTCTCTATATTTAAATAAGCTTTGTTTTGTAGGACGAGTTTTTTTTAAAAATCTTGAGCTTATTTGATAAACTTCTTTAAGTAACTTCTCAAATAAGCTAGTTGAATATTTTTATTCTAACTAATTTATCAGCTAATTTTATAAATATTTTTATTATATAAGCTAACTTTTCAGCTTTAACCTATATGCTCTTATCAAACACTTATACATACAAACATTTTATTTTTTATTTTTTTATATTATGTAAAGGCCCAAGAATATCCCGTTACATAATTATGGATATGGATATATGTCAACACATTGTGCCAAAAAAATCAATCAACTTTTAATAGCATGCCAACAAATTATATCAATTGAATCAATGAGTTCCATTTTTTTTTTTTCTAATTTAAAAAATAAATAAAAAGAAATGTTTGTACTGTGAAGAATTACCAATTATTACGGAAGAATTACCATATGCATATAAGAGTCAAATTCTAATCTTTTTATATGCTTTGAAGTTTGAAATAACAATTATACAATTATTTTGCCTTCTGTTATATGGCCATCTTGAGTTATTTTGAACTGCAAACAACAATCTTATAATTTGTACATTTTTTTTGGTAGCCAGCCACGGTATCCGGAGCTTTGCCCGACTAATCCGTTGGTCGACCCGGGTCGCACACCTGGCAATGGTAGGTGAGTCTCCCAACAAGGATTTTCAACATAATTTGTACATTTCAACTTACCGTGGACTGCACTATAATAAAACTGCAGTATAATTAGCGAGCTTTTCATCATTCAATCAATACACTCTAATATAGGTATATATATGTTTAATCCACTATTAAAAAAAAAAATCAGTACAAATTTCATGTGCACATAATTTCATCAAATACAACTTATTTTCTTTTTTTTTTTCCTCAACAATAAATCATCCACAAGTGGTTCTATGCCAAAATTCCTCATAAAATCCCTACACTACATCAAATGTTAAAAAATACACAACTCTTTACACCCCACAAAAAATGAAAAAAAGAAAAAAAAAAGAATCTGAAAGAATCACAATGTCTAACTTAAACTCATTTGTTTGTAAATTGTAAATCCAAAAATCCCAATCAAATCAATCAGACACAACAGAAATTCGTCCACTCGAGATACTCCCATGGCTACCCTCACACAAGCCCAAGGCCCGCTCCAAATTCGCCACCACATCGCTCATCGTCGGCCGATCCTTCCCTTCCAAATGCACGCAGTGCACAGCCGTGTACGCCACCAGCTCCACCGCCTCCGCCTCCTCCGGCCCAGGCGGGCCCACCCTCGAGTCCAAAACCTGGCCCAATTCCCCTGCC